TCATTATGAATCAGAAAACATCAGCTTTGCATGTAGAGCTAATGGAACAGATGTAAAGTTACGATGGTATGTCAACGGACTGCAATTAGCTAATAACAATGAGACTCTGATACTAAATGATCTATCTCCAGCAAGAACTGGTATATATCAATGCTTATGGGAAGGATTCTTTGATAATGAGAGAGAATCTGTATCTTGGGCACTCTCTGTACAAAGTAATGCACTATACATGTGCATGTATTTGTGTGTATTTTATTCAGTTAATAATACACTCTGCATACAATACTACACTGCTGTATTAGAGTGTGAGTGGGTAAATGAATGTGTATCAATCAATCCATTAGGCTTTGCTGGAAAAGCTTGGAATATTTTTGGGATTTATCTATTGATTAATGGGTGGGTATGTACAATGTAACTGTTTTAAATTTTACACAAGAAACTTGGTCAATTATTTGCCCTGTTAAATGACTGGCAGGTGTACATGTATTTAAATATGAATAAAGAATCCAAATACTTCAGTTGAATTATTGAAAATACTAGGTATTGGCACAGCCTAATACTTGTTAGTAGTTCCAGTAGGTACATGTATTACCATATAGCCGCTTCATTTTGAGGGTACAATTATTGCTGTTTTTGCTGATTTTCCGTATCTGCAAAAGTTAATTCCATAAAATTATTCATATCACCCTATAAACACACATACTTTAAATAAGAACCACGAAAGTTAATTCCCAATAAAAGACTTTTGGCCTGATTTGCAAAAGTTTATTGCCTCGAAACTTTGTGGCTATACGGTATTCACAATATCTTTTATACTAAATCAATTTTTATGGATCAAATAATGATGTACTGATCAGACATGGGATCAATTACACATGTACATGTAGTGGCTCTTTTACAATTACAAGAACATAGTTTCAATTGTAATTGAAGCTTAAGCCTGAACTTGAAAATTTTTTAAAATTGAGTTGTCATAGTGCAAATCAGTAGCCACATCCATGTGCTGTGCACATGTAAATGAAAGTGTGATCCCAGCATAGTGCTCAGCTTCTTGCCAGCTCATGAGGTTTACTGTTAGCTTGCTCAGTAGAGCTTTGTAGAAAACCTTTCTCCATGGTATTTTATTTGAAAAGGCTATAAGTGAAAATTCTCTATTTTAATTTTGTCTAATTTTTATACAAAAACTGTATTTATAAATTTTTCAGGCTTGAGACCATCCACTACAGTACAGTCAAAAATGGCTAGGAGAGAATTTTTGTTTTTGTATATAATTTGATGTGAGTTTGAGCCGATTCTAATGCTCCAATCAAAACTAGAGTTTTTATATATTTTTAAAAATTGTTCAGAAATCTGGCCAGAGACTAAATGCCATATAGCCGAAAATTTTTGTGGCCCAAAATTTTTTGGATCTGTTCAAAAATCAATTTTGTGGCTTTAATTTTTGTGGTTTTCTGCTTTTTGGCCACCTTGAACCGTATTAAATTGATTTTCGCGGATTTTATTTTTGTGAATTTTGAAAAAACGTGAAATCCATGAAAATTTTCCACTATACGGTACTCTGTACATGGTCTCCAGGCAAATGTCATCAAAAGTAGCTGTAAGTGAGGACTCTTTATTTTTCTGATACATTATTTTACATGCTCTTATGTTGTACATGTATATCTAGTTTGAGCTGATCCCAGTCAAAATTGAATTTTTATGAATTTTTAAATTTACTCCAAAAGGCATCCACTATATTTATTAGTGCATTGCTTGTAAGTTCTTAATTTATGTGCTTTGTGAAAAACCCTGGTGACAATATGTTATTCTTCTTTCATGCAAGAGCATGTCAAAATATTGTTTTTAACTTCTACATGGAACAATTGTAATTCTAAAAATTGAGGTTTTGTAATTAACCCCAGCCAAGTCTGTTACTAAATTACTAATGGATGTAGATACGCAATCTTTAGACTACTGCAAAAGCAATATTACTAAAATGGCATGAATGTTATACAAAAAACTACTAATAACAAAAACAATAATCAGTCCATTTTAGTTCAAAAACTGAAAGTAAAAAGCCATAATATTAAATACCGTATAGCTTGATATTTTCGTGGGTCGATATTTTTGTGGTTTGCTCCTAGTGGGGCAATTTGTAGTTTCATTTTCGTGGTTGGCAGTTTACATAGCCTGTAAGGGGATGGCACTTCAATGATTTTGTGGGTTTAAATTTCGTGAGCAGCCCATAAC